ATAGGGGCCTTCTTGTAATTATTAATTTTCAATTATAAAGTGAACTTTTGAGGGTGTGAACAGTGAACTTCATGCACCTCTCGACACATTGCTTTCTTCTTCCTCTTCTTCTTCTTTTCTTCTCTTCTTTCTTTCTCTCTCTTGAAACCCTAGTTTTTGCAACTTGGTATCAGAGCGGGTAGAAGCATCTGGGAGTTAGTTTTCTACTGATCTCCTACCCAGAGGCGAACTACTGACGTCAGACCGCCGCATACTGCTGATCTCCTACCCACTATGTATCTCTAAATTTAACTAAACTATGACTAGAAGAACCAGAATCCAAGACCAAATCCCAAATACAATATGTAAAATGACCAAAATACCCCTATTTTCTAGAAATACAAAAAAAATAAATTAAAAAAAAACAGTTTCGATTTCTTTGATCTTACATCAGCTTGTGCCTCAATTGAGCTTATTTCAGTAAATGAGTCCACTAACAACCTAATTGGATCTGATATCCTACTTTTTCTCACAAAGTGTGTTAAACTCAAACCCACATTCTCACCTTTGGCAGCCCAATATTTTAATTGATATTAGTTCTGATCTAAATCATAGGCTCTATATTTGGGATTCCATGAGCAAAATATCAAAATGAGTTAGATGATCCAAGTCCAAGCTTGGAAAAAATCAAGCCATAGCTCAACTATTAGTTCATGAACCTGATCTAACCAGGGCAAAGCTTGGCCAGCTCAGCTCAGCTTGTTTACAGTCCTATCATATGATGCATCAGAGAACTTTCATCCTATCACTTTGCTCTATCTATAAATAAAATGGAGTCATAGCACATCATTCTAATGGTAAATCAGACCCACTAGGATGGGGATGGAGGGATGGGCACCTAGAGCTTGTTCTTAAATCATGCCTTCAAGAGCACTGACCTAACTATCTTCAAGCTTCACATAGACAAACCCCAACAAGTAACTGCATTAGTCTTATCTGTTCACAAACTTCTGCAGACGGTGTATGGTCTCATTTTTCACACTCACACATACTATGGTATTGCTCTAGATTTCAAGAAACCAAAAGTTCTTGACCCTGTTTTCAAAAATATCAAGAAAACTTGAAAGCATGTAAGAGTAGGTTACAGAAGCCTTGTCTTGTTTATTCAACGATCCTCCAGATTCATCTTAAGGCTAGGCTGACAGCATAGTTATAATAAAATCACTGGTTCAATTGGCATATCAACCCCATGACGAAGTGCCTGTTTGGGAGGGCTTTTGCACAGTAGCTTCTCATGTTTTGAGATGGGCCCCACACGAAAAATACAAAAGCTATGTTTGGTAAAAATCTGGAACACAGGCATGCACATTCTGAACGCCATTAGTATGACTGTTGAGTGAAGCTACTCCAAGTAGCTTATCCAGAACATGCACACACAACCACTCTGTAGCAGCTCAATCAGAACATAGACACCCTCCCAAACGGACTCTAAGTGATAAATATGTATGTATAACAGCATCTCTTATATGAATGGTATACTCGTGCACTGAGTTTCCAAAAACAATTCATTATACCCTCTCAAGTTGGCACATTGACAGACTAAACAAAAGAGACAAGATATGGCATATTATTGCTGGAGCCATTTTTTGGACTGTGGATGGAAAGGAACAGAAGAATTTTTGATAATTCCTGCTCCAAATTTGATGAAATTTTAAGGAATGCCATAGCAAAGATTACATCCTGCCGGTGAGCATTATTCGGTTAAAACTGAAAAACCGAACTGGTTTTTTTGGTTTTTGGTTATTTCGGTTTTGTAAAATTTTGGTTTTGGTTTCGGTTTTCCGGTTTAGAAATTTGGTTAACCAAAAAAACTGAATTAATCGAATTTTATTACCTAATATATATATACATATATATATATATTAACATATAATATGTATAAAATATATTTTTTTAATATATAATATATATTATATATTAAAATATACAGTATAATATATATTAAAATATATATATGGTTTTGAAATTCGGTTTTAACCAAAATAACTGAAAATTTTGGTTTCGGTTATATCGGTTTTTTAATATTAGGTTTTGGTTCGGTTTTTCATTTAAAATTTTGGTTTATTTGGTTCAGTTTTTAACCGAATAAACTGTTTGCTCACCCCTGATCCTGGGAGTCAATTCACAAGAGCTTTCGGAATTTACGTTATTCTTTTTAGTGTCAACTGTCTTGGATGAATAGAACAGAGAACAAAAATAAACTTAGGGGTGTCCAGAATGGTCAACCCCCACCCCAAAGAGTCACTTATATATTAGAGAATACGTACAATTACAATAATGCCCATACAGGACTGAATGAGAAAATAAAACAATGTAAAAGTACAAACTGTAATGTACAACAGGGACTATACTAATAGGGTACATCAAGTCTTAGAATCTCCACACTTAGGCCCCAGGATTCTATTTTGAGTTCTTTTTGCTTCTTTTTCTATGTATTTCTAGAAGATTTCTGCTGTACAGATTCTCTTTGTATGGGGATGGGCATTCCACCCTCTTCTCTTTTATCAATCAACATATTATACTTACCTTCTCTCAAAAAATGAGCTTATCTATTATGTTGCATCCTTATTCTCTCACAATCTTTACCAAAAATAGAAAGAAAAAGTGAGCAGTTACATAGATAAACCACATATGCTTCTAAAATGCATCTCCTGTATCACTAAAAATGTTTTTTCAAAGTGCTTTTGAAGTTTCTACCAAACAATGCTTGAATAAATTCTTAGATGTTGTGTATTTTTATTATTAACTCAAACAAGATCAACTTCTTACTCTTAAAGCTGCTTCCCTATTTCCAGATGGAGCAGTTGGACATATTGTAGTTTCAAAATTAATTGCCTGAACAACTCCCCTATCCTGGAGACGCTCTGATATCGTAGCAGCTAACTCAACACCAGAATAGCCACAGCCAACAACTGCCACACGTATTGGAGATGAATTACTACCAAATTGCTTCCGCTCAAGTGCTTTTAATTTTTCATCAACCTTCTGCATCATAAGAATATCAAAGATGTAATGAATAGGTATAGAACATTTTCCTCATATCCAGAATTATCAGGAAATAAAAAGGCAAGAAACTCCTATTGTTAGTCTCCAATCACAGACAAATATAAACAAATAAAAGCCTATAATACCCAAAAACCTGAATGGGCTTAGTATAGACCCTCCCACACAAAATGTTACCAATGAAAACACTGGGTACTGTAGTCTGTAGAGATGCTTCTACAATCAAAATAGTTGACATGTTTGACTCTTAAATGTTAATACTTTACATTTTTTATGTAAGTAAAAAATATATAAACAGTATAATGTAACCATTTTGATTGTCAAAAGCTTCACAGATATTATAAGTTTTCACACAATTTAATGGGATATAGTGTTGTAGAAACAGAGGGTTGCTCCATTGCGACCTGAGTGACCAAGGTTCAAATCTTAGAAACAGCTTCTCTGAATGTGCACGGGTAAGGCTGAGTACATCTGTCCCTCCCCAGACCCCACACTGGTGGGACCGTAGGAGCCTCATGTACTGGGCTGCCCTCTTATAGGGATATAGAAATAGATAAGTGGCTCAAAGAACACAATAAAAATAAAATAAAAAACAAAAAACAAAAAACAAAAGAATGATATCAGCATATTGAGTGGGATACTCAAACCAATATGATATCTTTCACATGTCAATGTCCATATCAAAACCAATAATGCACAAGAAAGTTTTACAGAGATTGAGTTCCATGTCATATTCTTTATTTATTTTTTTTTTTTTTTGAAGAGTCAAAGGAAAACTTTATTAAAAGGAAAAAGAAATACAGCAGGAAGATGATAAGATATCATCCGAAAGGAGAGAACAACTAAATGACCCAACAAACAAACGACATGACCCCTTTAACAACACCTGAAAAAACAAGCATGCAACTTACACACCAAAGACTCAAACTAAATCAGACTCGAGCTAAAAACCTTGGAAAAAATCTGGCAGAGAGGCTCAATATTCATCCACAATTTCATCCTCCTGATCTGAAACTTCCTCATCTCAAACTTCGCCTCCTTCCACCAGAGCTTTTTTCTTTAACTTCTCTTCCTTTTTCTCCTTTCAAAGTCCTCAAAGGCCCTCCTAGAAAATTCTTCACCACCCCAAAAACAGAGACCCAAACTTTTTCCGATTGTCACTTCTCTGTCTACTCACTGCTGGGAGAGCCACACCGCCTGAAGCAAAACCCTTGAGCTCATTACTTTGCACTTTCATGCTCGTACCAGAATCAGAACCCTCACCGCCCTCCTTGTTGACTTGGACGTCCTTCCCCAAACGAGAATCTCATGACTGTGCCTTCATCGTCATTCCTTTAGACTCATCTCCATGAGACAAACTGCCTCCTTCCCTTCTCTTGTAAACCCATTTGTAGTTTTTTGTGGGTCCTGCCCCTGCCAGACCAAGCTTCAACCTTGAGAAGATTTTCGTCACATGCACTACATTAGAGTTTCTTAGGCTGTGTGATTTCCTGCCATTCACTCCATTGAACAACTCAATTTTCTCTTCACTCTTGCTTCTTCGACTCAAGTAACATCCAACCTACCAACCTTCACCTCCTTAAAACGAAAAGCGCCTGCAGCGTGGTTCTCATCCTGATCACCAACGTTGTCTTCATCTTCTCTCGACCCTTTTCCTCCTGCCACTTCCCCGATCTCAGATTCCGCAAAGATGTCAGTACCTCCTTTCCCAACTTCCTCAGCCCCCTCTTCCAACCCCCACTCTCACAGGGGATACTCTTTTTCTTTAATACATTATCTCTACTTGCCCAAGAAAAAAAAAAAAAAAAAACAGCTTATGTTACCATGAGAGACAACTCAAAATCTGGATGAAAAACACATAAGAAAATCCAACTAGCAGTCTCTTTCTGCAAAAATACCTTAGTTCATCAGATATTTGCATCCTAGAGAGTCAAAAATCCTTTCCAAAGACCTAAGATGAAGTAGGCTTACCCTGCAATTTTTGTCTTTGATAAACAGGTCAACTTGCAATTTTATTATGTATCTTGGAACATGAATCCCATTAAGACACTTTACCAGTGTTTTAAAAACCAACCCAAAGGCTGAAACATTTTTGCCTCTGGGTCGTCAGTCAGAAGTTCAACCATCCAGGTCGGATGGGTAAGACCATAACACGTATATATACATATGTATGTATGGTTTATATATTATATCAATATAATATATAATACTATAATATATATATAATATATCGTATCAATTAAATAATATAATTATATCCTACATGTAATATATGTATATAAATGGTTTATATTAGGTCAATTTTATAATTTTATTTCAGTTTTTAATTTTTTATTTATAAAAAGCTAAAATTTGATATTTGGAGCCAAAAAAGGCATTTTTTGGCAAAAATAGTGGGGCAGGGCACCAAATAAGGTGCCTTTGGCACCGTAGGAGTAGGGGTGCCAATGGATTGGTTTTGGATTGGACATTGTCCAAACCAAAATCAATTTGGACGGATTGGGCTGACCAACAAGACATTAAATTGGACCAGTCCAGACTTAATGGTTCAAAGTATTTATTGGATTGGATTGGCTTGGGTTGGATTGAGCCAATACCTAGCCCATTGATAGAAGATAAGAATATACGTGTCACTAGACCAGATTTGGGTTAGAATTAATCTAAATTAAAACAATTTTGAACAGATTGGACAGTCTAGACATTGAATTGAACCGGTCCAAAATGGTCCAAAATATTCATTAGATTGGATTGGACCTGGTCCATTTGTAATGAAATCACATTGGACTGGATCAGATTGGACCAAATCCAGTCCAATTGGCACCCCTACTTAGGAGCACGTAGATCTTGAAAGTTAACAAAAATCAAAAAAAAAAAAAATCACCCCAATTGAACAACCAAGCGCAAAGTTATGGCTTCCAAAAGTTTTCAATACATTATGTGTTGTAACCCATGACCCAATGAATCAACGGGTCAACCACCCAGGCCGCATGATGTTGACCAAGTCAACAGTTTTTGGTCAATTTTTGGGTTTTAGGAAAACCGGGCCTAGAATTATCAATAAGATAAATTCCGAGAATTATCATGAAGCAAAAACAAGGGAAGGAGGAAAACACAGGAAGAAGACTAAAGAAACAATTAAAATACAAGTAAAAATTAAGAAGCCTTGCCTCATGGCATGAAGTAGAAAGGATAGGATTAGGAATGAAGTTATCAATAGGAACCTAGGAGTAGCTCCAATAATTGATAAAATGAGAGAGAATAGATTAAGATGGTTCGGGCGTGTGCATAGAAGTCAAGACCACCAACTGCTCAAGTTAGAAGAAGTCATTTGTTACACATTGAAGGGAAGCACAAGAGGGGAAGGAGGAAAACACAGAATACTAAAGAAACCATTAAAATACAAATAAAAATTGAGAAGCCTTGCCTCATGGCATGAAGTAGAAAGGATGGGATTAGGAATGAAGTTAACAGTAGGAACCTAGGAGTAGCTCCAATAGGTGATAAAATGAGAGAGAGTAGACTAAGATTAGGGGTGCAAATGGATTGGATCATGATCTGATCCTATTTTTGAAAGAATGGTAGGATCCATCTAATGGACGCCAAAAGGTTGCGGAATGGGTGGGCGAATTTCAAAAATTTTCCTACCTTCTCCCAACTGGGAATCATATTCCCTGAATTTAGAATACTATATTCAAGGATCTTACTTGAACCAT